GCAGGTTCTCCTTCTTCTCGAGTTTCTGGGTACAACCACACGTTCAAAACACAAACAAAGGATCAATAACAACCCATAGAAGTGAAATGAAGGTTCTAAGGGTTTCTCAAGGCTTACCTAAGCCATACATGGCCTGAAAATCGATATGTCGAACTCGCCGAGTCGACCTTCCGAGTTAGTGAGTCAAAACTCGTCTACATCATATTTCAAGGACATGGTTGTGATCATGGGACTGAGATGATCACAATGGTGTAGTTGGTTTGTCACGTTTGTGAGTTTTGGTGTGTTTTGTGGTTGTTGCAGAGAGGAAGAAGAAGAAGAAATGTGGCGTGGGAGAGGGAGAAGAGAGAGAGAGATGCTTTTCTGATTGAGGGAACAGAAAATAAAGAAGAGATGGGATAGGTGACAGTGAATAATGAAGGGGGAAGTACACGGGATGGGTTTAAAAGGAATCCAAAGATAGGTTTTTTAGATTTCCTACAGTAAAAGGAAATCGAAATCTATCTGAAGTAGATGTTTTTACACTTTAAAATTTACGCCTACTCGTACTAGCGTGTACAATTTAAATGCGATAGCGAGAAATAAAAAGGAAAGTGATCAGAATAAGTCCACGTCACTTGCCAATAAGGGCATAATCGTCAATACACATACTCGGGGAGAAATTACATAGGAAAATTAGGGACGGGTCGTCACAATTCAAATAATTAATGATGCTATTAATACCCAAGGACCTTGATCAAAAATTGAAAATCAATAGGATTTTAATCAATGGAGTAATAAAAATAAGGATGTGAACCTAATTTCCCAAAAAAAAATAAACCAATTGTCTTCCCCCGCACCCACCCTCCACACCCAACCTCGCACCCACCCTCTTCCCTCATCTACACACCCCACTCCTTAAATCCACATCCATTCCCCCCATTTTCTCTACGCTCAAGTTCTCCTCCCGCGGAATCGGCCTGGAGAACGGGATCTGGGTTTGGTTTTTTTATTTTTATTTTTATTTTATTATTTTATATTTTTTATGGGTTGCAGGTAGTGGGTGCGAGGGTGGGTGCGGAGGGTTTACGGAAGACATGATAGGGGAAGAAAGGGATGATTTGCAAGGAATGGGGGGTTGGGGAAGATGAAGATAGGTTGTGTAGTTTTTTTTTTTTTTTTTTTTTTTTTTCTGGGTTGCAGCAGATAGGGGGAAGAAGAGGAAAGAATATGAAGATGGGGGAGAAGAGAGAGGACGTGGGGGGGGGGAGGGACAAAGTTTTTGTTTTTTTTTTCTTTTTTCTGGGTTGCAGCAGGTTAGGAAGAAGAGGAAGGGAGATGAAGATGGGGGAGAAGAGAGAGGGCGGAGGGGGAAAGTTTTGTTTGGTTTTTTTTTAATAACCTTCTTTATTATCTTAATATTTAAAAATATTAAATGATTTTTTTTAGTTTTTAATAATATTTTATTAAATTTTTAATAGAAAGTGGATTCCGAATCAAGCCACGTCAGCAATTAACTAAGAAATTAACAGAAAAACTAATGGAGGTATGACATTGGCACAAATTCGTAAGATGAGGTATGACATTGTCAATTTTAAAAGATGACGTATGAAATTGTCGTGTGACACCAATAGTTGAGGTAATTGGAAAGATAGATTAATATTTCATATATATATATATATATTAATGTTTTGATTTCAACAAACTCATCATTTCAAATGAAGTTTGAGAAGGTTTGAGAAAATGAGGAAGCCACACATCCCTTCTGATGCGATAGGTATATGCAAATTATAAATACATGTAAATGCATCTCATTCAAAACGTAGAAAAATCATTTTCATACTGCTGAAAGAACCACATAGAAATTCGCCAAAAATCAAGTTTTCCAGTGCTTGAATATTATTTTGATTGTTGAATCCTTATGAAGTAGACACCCACTGAATTACAAGCACAAAGTAAAGGCGAAATTATTTTTCAAGAATATTGCGGTACGCAAGGCTCGATGGTTATTTTGTTTGTTTGATATTAGTTTCGTTTAATCCGAATTGTATCAATATATATATATATATATATATATATATCTCAAATTTATTTCTGCAATGTATATATATTTGCGATTGATTGTTGATTTTTAACCAAAATTATATAAGGAGCTGAGTGTGTGCGTATATATGTATATTCTTTAAAGAAAGCATCCCCATTTTTTCCGAAAAATCTTCAATCTTCTAAATCGTTTATTTTTTAAGTTATAACTCATAATCATTGTTGCAAAATATTAGCCAAATTGAAAATATTTGAGGCATCTAATTGAGTTCAAAGAAATTGAAGAACATTATGTTCTAAGAAACCTTGAAATTTTATCGTGACAATTAAATGGGTAAATGGTTTTGGATTGAATTGATTTTTTTCATAAATGATCTATGGATTGAGATTAACAAAATAGACAGTTTAGATCGTTAAAGTTCGATGTGGAATGACTTCCACAACTAATTCTCATTTATAAAAAAAAACATTTTTTTTGAAAAAAATGAAGATCGGTTTCCTTAAAGAAATACTAGCATATGCCCACACACACTATGTATGAACAATTTCATTTCATTTTGTTTTTTTTATTATGAAGTGGAATTAGTTTTTAAAATTTTGAAGATAAAAAAAATCAGTTATGAAAATTGGGATAATGATGAGTGATTTCTTCTAACATGGGAATACTTTTTATTTTATTTTTAATTTTTAAATAGGGCATGTTATACTAACCTGGTTGTGAGGTTTCTATAAAAAACAGCAAAATTTATATTCATATAATTACTAAATTGCCTATATTTTTTAATTGGGTACAGTTTTGGTGAGGGGGTTAAAATAATAATTTCATGAAATTTTGATTGACAACTGCTTTTGTACATTCAAACTATCCAAAAAACATCATGATTTCACTTACGTATATGAAAAAAATTATGGTGGGACAATTTCTCTTAATAAGTGCATATTTTTTATCTTATATAAATATTTTGATATAAAATTACTATTTTACCCTTCTTTATGTAAATATTATGTATAAAAAATGAGGGCAAAATAGAAAAAAGGGAAAAAAGTTCAAAAGATACAAAATTACTATTTTACCCTCCTCATGTCAACATTGTGTATTTTAAAGTGAGGGTAAAATTGGAAGAAAATGGAGCAAATAATTGACAAAATTAGTTTGTTTGCAAAAGTCAAAATTTGTCGGCAAAAGCTCTTTCCTGACAAAAAAATTCGTCGGCCATTTCGTTGCACAAAGCATTTCGCGTAAAACTCCAACCGACAAAATTTAACATTTCGTTTGCTATGAAGTGGTTCTTTCCCGACAATACATATTTTGTAGCCATTCTTAAACCCTGAGAAAAAATTCCGTCAGAAAAGGATTTTTAAGCCTACAAAATGTACCTTTTAGCCAATATGATGTGTTCATCGACAAAGATATTTTGTCGACATAGTCTTTCTCTACCGACAAAACTAGCTTTGTCGGGTGAGAATTTTAATTTATAAAAAAAAAATAACATAAGCTTGAACACACATTTTTTTTTAAAATAATGCTTCTTTGATTAGTAATATGTACATGTACAGTGGTTATACAAAAGTACATATTATACAATAATCCTATCCTACTCTCATTCTTTAGTATCGGTCTAGCAATAGCATTGTATAATAATATCCTGCAAAAATAATATAAATGGTAATTATTATGTATGACAACATAAGAAAAAGCATCCTTAATACTGAAATAATCAAATTGTTGCCATTAATCATTTTACAAGTAATAAGATTTAGTTTTTACTGTTTATGATTCACACAACAATCTGTTAGGAAGTAGAAAATGGGGATGGGCTACAGTAAAACCATATTATTACAATAAACAGTGAAAACTTAACCAATTTGTCAACAAGAAAGCATGTACTCATGTAATTATGTAATCAGACTTGAAACAGACTTGAATTTTACTTGTAACTTGGATGATAAATCTTGGACTCATGTAATCAAGCATATAGTAAGTTTTGATTAATACCATTCATATATTCTTAGAGGCCAAGACAACAGTTCATCTAAACCTTGCAATCAACATTACCTGCAGAAAGCTCACAACTTAAAAAATTCTCACAACTTTATCAAATTGTGTTAATGACGACAATTTGTAACTTGTTGGGGAATCAAATTACTTGAACAATGCTCCTTGCTCATGTCTAGCATTTGACATACCACTCATCCATTTATTTAGAATAAACACAAGGCAGAGAAAAACAAAATATACAATACAAGAGAAAGGTTATATAAACTTACAACGATCTGAGTGTTGGTCGCTGGATTTGGATTTGGGTATCTGATAAGAGAGGAATCGTACGAGGAACCGATAGAGGAACTGCATCGGCAACAGAGAGCAACTGATATGGTGGAGAATAATAGCTGCTAGGATGTTCAATCCAAGAAGAGCAACTGAGAAGGGAGATAGCGATGAGATCCAAATCTAGGGTGTGGCAAGATTTTTATCCTTCATCGTTGGGGTGCGATAGCCGATAACCTCTAAATACGAAAAGTTTTTTTTTTTTTCGTTTTTCGCGGTATCGCGCCTTTTTTTAATAGACCGTGCCGACGATTTTCTTGACATTTATGCTTCGTCGGGTAAACTTATTTTTTGCGACATTTTATTTGTCAGCTTAAACCTATTAGTTTATAGCCGACAATTCGGATATTTTGTCGGGGAAAGACTTTTGTACAGATTAAATTTTGCTTTGTCGGCTTAGAATTGGTTGGTAAAATGACATTTTTTTAGTAGGATCCTAAGGTAAGGTCCTTATTGACAATGAATGTGGTGATAGAGATGATAAAAATGATAGTCACACCATTCTAAATTTCAATTTTGTTCTGTACATCTCACACCTTAATTTACTTAAACTATTAGTGTTCATATTACGAGAAAAGTTCGCCCTACAGCTAAAGACTTATCTTCTTATATTTATAATACCGATATGTAATTTGACGTGATTGTAAACAATTAATAACTACTTTATTACCATATTTGTTTTAATGGTACATAGAGTACAGTACAACTTAACAAAAGATACAATGTTATACTTTCATCGAGGTAAAAAACCCAACATACGCAAGCAAATTAAAGAAGGGCCACCAGGTTTTCATCTACTTTATTTATAATCACCCTTGTTGAGATGCATATACACCTCGACTTCAAGCAAACGAACATGCAGTTAAGGTGCTGGTACGATGATGGAAGGTGAAATGTGCGACCCAACCTCCCATAGCTCCAAAATCCCATGAATAAAGTCATAGTAACCACCCCTGAGTGCTAGGTTTTTGTCCGAGAGTGCCTTTTGAACGTAAGGGTAACTTTGTAGGTTTACCAGTGACAAATTTACTGCTTCCTGCATCATTCAAGAAGATGTTAAGTGAGATTTAAAGTTGTAACTATGGAAGCGCACGCACGCACCTCAGCTAGTCACTGACAATTATTTCATTTGCAAAAAGTGAATCAAGAGTAAATGGCCTTTCAAATATTTCAACAATCCAACATCGAATGTCTTACCCTTGCACAATCCTCACATTGTTCATTAATATCGGCGTCCCCTTCCTTTGCTATAACCTTTGCCTTGGCGGGTAAACCGATTTTGACCCATTCGTCTATGAAGTCGCTGCATATTCCAATGACATGGTTAATGGATTCAAAATCATATAACATTAGCAAGTTCTAATGATCTCAGTTCATTGCTTAAATGACTAGGGTGGGTTTTTTGCTATACTCTTCGACCATCCTAAAAATGCTAACAAATATCCAAATTAACAGGTCTTAAATTGCATCCTCATAAACGATTATGATTAATTATTTTCCATAATCTACTACTTTTGTGTGTAAAAAGACTTACAAGGGAACAGAGTTATCCTCAGGGTGAGTCATAAGCCTCTTTATCCCACCACAATGACTGTGTCCGATTACCAAAATATTTGTTACCTGTTCAATTTTCTTCTTGTTAGCATTCGATTCATATATATTTTAGTAACACGTGATCAAGAGAAAAGAACTAAGGGTTATTAATTTAACAAATTAAAAGACTTGGAATTAATGTTCACCCCGAGTACTGTAATAGCATATTCTATGACTGCTCCAACTCCTGCATATTTCAGCTGTAAAGATATAAAAATAAATAAAAATTATTTTTCGTAGTCGGATGCATCACTATTATGTGATAAGTTATCAGAAATGAAGTTCAATATTATTTTGGACACGAAAATGACACACTTGCTCACGTATAGTTTCTAATACAGGTGTGCATTACTATTATATAATGTAGAGAGTAATAAACCTGATTGAATGCAGGAACCATGTTCGCAATGTTGCGAACCATGAAGGCCTCCCCAGGTTGGAAACTAAGGATATGTGAGGGACTCACTCGGGAGTCCGAGCATGCAAATACCAGAAACTGCATTGGAAATTAGCAACAAAAAGATTAAACATTTCTTGGTCTACTTATTTTAAGATGTTACAGCCAAATAGTACCTTGGGGTTTTGTCCTTTGGCAAGCTCGTTGTAGTAATCTGGGTATTTTCTGTAAGATCAGAAAGAAAATTAATTAAAAAGGAAAAAAATGTACAACAAATTATTTGAGTTTGGCTCTCCCGCAAATTATGAGTTTTAAATTTCCAAAAATTGGTCTAGGGCATACATTGCTTGCATAAACTCAATTATACATCCTTAAACACGGTTTTTAAATTTTAGAAGACATTGTGCTTTCGAATCTATTTGATATATAGCAAATATGTACAACAGTTAATTATTTTCATAAAATAATAAAGAAAATAGTCAAGTTACTCGAATTTGTTGATCCTGAAGTTGATGAAGCCATCTACAATCCTTTGAACTGGGTCAAAATGATCATCCGGTCTTTGCAGTTCAGCCGTCAACTTCTCAATTTTGGCAGCAACCACATTGTCCAGCTCTTCCTTCTCACTGCAACCATGCCAACCAAGATTATCATTAATTTCATCATCCCATGATATTTTCATAAGGTGGATGGTTAGACCAAAGATCATCCATGAAGTCAACAAGTTGCTAGGCAAACCTGAGGAGATTTTTCAGGCGTTGAATAGCTAATTGGCTTGCCATTTTGTCTACTTTCGTTCCTGAAAATTCAAAAATCACGACCTTATTAGTTTACATGGAAATGTATTATACGTGTTTCTCCTTAATCTCGAGGGCACCAAAAAAAAATCTGTAAATAAGAAAATGAGAGAGTGCCAAACTGCCAACCGGTGGAAAGGAAACCAATTTTTTTTTCTTCCAAAAATTAACCCCGAACAAAAATCAAAACAAAACAAGACTAGGCAAACCATTTTTTTCCATCTTCGCAGTTCTCACCCATATTTATTTCTGTTTTTTTTTTTATCTTCTTTTAATTTATTCAACTGAAAGGCCAAATGATAAAGGATGTGTAGGAAGAGAAAATGCATGTGCATGTATCTCTTCTTAAAAGAAAAAAAAGGCTTTGTGCGAAGTGAGACAACACAAAATTGGCAAGGAAATATTGAATATATATATATATATATATATATATATATATATATATAGTTGTATATTTCAGTTATTTCTCTAAGCATTAACCAGAAAAATAATATATATAGTTGTATATTTGAGTTGTTCCTATTTGAAATGCAGAAGTGCATCCAGTTCATAAAAGCAAAACTGTAATATGATAATATATAGTATGAGTAGAAACGTAGATATTGATATTAATCTCTTGAAATATAAAGCCGAAATAATCAGAACATGATTATTCTACCCAAACGAAAACATACACACGCACACACATACACTCATTAACCAAACCGTACGTACGTTTTCGAGAATATTTTCTAAAGTTAGGAATGGATCTTAAGGAGATCAAATTGCTTCACACATGCACAAGCAACAAATACAAACACAGGCACATATTTGCAGCGAGGGATGGAGCTTCTATTTATACACCGAGACTAGCTCTTTTTTCTTTCTTTCTTTTACTTTTTGGGGTTAACACTAAACTTTTTAATCGACATGTTTTAATTATTCTCTGAGATATGGATATTAAATAATTGGGCAAGAATAATATGGACCATATTTAAATCGTGATTCGTGACAATATAGTAAAAAACAACCAGGAGCTCTCAACTCGGAGCTGCCGTCCAATACCATCTCTTTATCATTGTTTCGATGAATTCGTTAAATAGTGTAAACTGTATATTCCCATGTGACAAGTGGCGCCATCCAGCTTTGAATGTTCCTTAAATTCTTGTTTCCTTTTCCTTTGTTAACTAGTGATTATGCAGGGTGACTAGCTGGTAAGATAAAAAGCATAATTAGCCGTCTCAGAAATTTTTAATCTTAAAACTCACGAATGCATTTCTACTTCTTTGTACGCATGGTGACTAGTGTCACATAAAGAGAATCCTACAGCTATACTTTCCACTCTTACACGCAGGCGCACATGCAAGCTGGCTGGCTGGCTAGCTAACCACTGGTGGAGCCAATAAAGGCATAGGAGGGTCACTCGACCCTTCTCAGTTCTCACTTTTAATTTTGTGTTATTTATTTTGTTTTTTATATCAAAATCCTTAAGCTTTTGACCCTTCTATTCATTTAAGACTTAAAAGTATGAGTTTTTAATTTTTTTAAGTGAGATGTATTAAGTTTGAATCTCGTGGATGACGAATTCGGTACTAAATTAGGCTGTAGCTTAGCCGAACTCCCCTTTTCCTTAGTGTAAAAATATTGATGCACTCAAAAAATAAAAAAATAAAAAATTTAGCTCATATCATTAGCGATATAAACAAAACAAGTTAGTCTCCCAAACTTGCCTCCAAAGTCCTCAACAAATCTAAGTGCCGAAAGTAGAATATAGAGAAAAAATGCTCGACATATGGAGAGGGAGTATTTGTATTTGTTTTGTTTTTTTATGAAATCTTGGAGGTCATGTTTCATGACATGCATCATTGAATTCAAAGGAACCACTAGTGATGAAACACACATGATAAATGCATTGAATATCACTTAGATCGATCCAATGTCAAATGGTCCATATGCATGTAGTTTAAGTGTACATGAGATATGATTGAAGACTTGGAATTCCCTTTCCCTCTCCCTGTCCCTCTCTAATTCATTAATCATGTGGGAAACAAAATAAATACATTTTAGAACGGAAGAATGGGAAAGTATTGAGATTCAGACGGATTTTACTTAAAACGCAAGAATAAAAGGGTGGAACCAAAAATAATTCAAAAAAAATATTTGAGTTGACACATGAATTTTATTCATTATTGACAATAATACTCTCATTATATTGGCGAGACCACATCTGTTCACACGCAATTCAACCACCAGGAACCTTGAGATGATGACTACAATTTCTTCAAGCTTCGCTGCCCATGACAATAAGATAAGGCAAGAAAATTAAAGGTAGAATTAATAACTAATCCATACATTTAAGCTCAAGGAAACACAACTAATTCCAATCAAGGATTTTTCAAAATAATTCTTAGATATTATTATTATTTATTTAATAATATCTCTAAGGTTTATTCTCAAACATTTTAAGATATTTCAACATTTTAAAGACACTTTCTTACTTCATCAAACAGATGACACACTTTGACAAATTGAAGCCAGCACATGGCATGAAACTCTACACATGTGGTCGGCCCTATGCTTTATAAATACCTCATTCTACATAGTTGTTAAGTAAGTTGATTCTGCACAATTCAACGCTAAATCACTCACTCTTTCTACAGAGTTTCTAACTTATGCATCGAATGTTCATTGGCCAAACCCCACTCTTGGCTCATGGCTTTGGTTGTTGACCTAAGGTATCTCTTTGTTGCGTAGGTACAATTTCATCAAATTCAAAGACGATGGAAATTTGCTACAACAAATTGGTACTTTCATTGACATCTTGATTCAAATCTTAAAGGAGCTCCCACGGTGTACGAGGCTTTACCAGTAAGCCTTTGACTGACAAAAGATTTAGTTACGAAGAAGCTTGCAATTCATTTAGATTCTCATCTAATCACCAACCAAGCCTCATGGGAGTACATGACGAAGCATCCAAGGATGACGCAATACTTGCATAAGTCCGAGAGCTACTCAAAGTGCGCGTTCCACATTTACACCCTTAAGCAGGTTCCACAAGTAGAGAACGCTCACCCAAACTTGTTGGCAAGTCTAGGCGAGCTGCTTTCTTCTTTCCAAATTTGCTGAGAGCAGGCTTAACAACAGGGATTAGAGCTCTAGGCGGAAGTCCACCTTCCTCTTTGCAGAGGATTGAGCAGTCAGTGGCATTCATAATACTCAGCTGAAGTACCCAAGGCAATTTGCACCTTCTTCATATCAGGCTTAGCCTCTGGAGTTGAGATAAATTCTGAATCTGCAATAGGAAAAAAATATTATATATTCAGTACTCTGAAATCAGAGAAACTCATAACTGGATTTAGGTTGCAGAATGATAAAGCAGTTCGCTTACCTTTGATAAACTTTGATGGGACATGGAGCTTAGTACATGGTTGCACGTTTTTTATAACAAAATTTACTAAAAATATGACTTTACCCCTTGAAATTCAATTCTTTTTAACTAAAACCCGTCATAATATATTTTTATAATAAAAACCGGCTCCAAGTCAGTAATTTTCTTAATTAAGTTTGACTTCACACAATTTTATATTTTTGGATGCCTATAATACCTCTAATAACTTATGTTGGATTAAAAAGAAGATTTAATGTCATAATTCATTGCCTATTAATAATAAATGATATGATACTAGGTTTTAATTTGTTTAGTGTTTTCCTTTTTAATTCCTTATTGCTTTGATGCTTTCATATTTGCAAAGTTGGGAATTTTTTTATTTAGTTTTTCTCTTTTCAAATATGCGAGCTTTAGCTACGAACAAAATATTTTACCACACATATATAACAACAATAAAATGTGTCTAGTGTAAGTAATAATACATGCAAAACAATTTACCTACAACATAAACAATGTAAGGCTTATTATATTAACACCCCACAAATTATTAAATAAACCCCACATACTTAATACACTCCATATTTGCTTTTTTAATTAAAAATTATCTTAATACACCCCACATACTTCCCCATAATACCCTCACACCCCACATTCTTAATATACACCTTACATTTTCTATATGCAACCCATATTTTCTATACACCCCACATTTCTCAAATCTTACAAAGCTTTTAATTTGGACAAATAATGCCGACTAAAAGTTTGACAAAAGATGCCACCTGGGATTTAAAACATATGTCGGTTGTTTTTAATTCCACCATTAAAATTCAAGTCGTCTGTTTTTAATATTTGGTGGTAATTTTAGGTGTTTAATTCTTCATGTAATTCCTGTGATCCCTAAAAAATGAATACAAACATAGAAGTTTGAATAACGCATCAAAAGCAAGATTAAATAATTATTGATGCTGTCAAAATCACTAAAACAATAAATAATATGAAGTCTACCGCACGTGAAACTTCCGAAACATCGATTTTGTGTTTCATTTGTCAAAAATAATTTTTCTCAATCAACATGTTTGTAGTTTCATTGGTTAGGGTTTTATTCAACAATGAAGGGTCGGATGTGTTTGATAGTTGAAGAAGATAAATAATACATTAAAAGTGATTTGGGGTGTATATAGATTTTTTTTTTAACCTAACAAAGTCAAAGTTGTCATTGCATAGTAGGATAAATAAGTTATTTAATATTAAATTTTAATGTGGGGTGCATTCAACATTTTGTGGGGTGCTAATATAAAAAGCCACAATGTAATTTGCTTCAACGTTTCACATACATACAATATATAGGTAAATTATTTTGTGTATATTAAAGTACTTACTTGAAAATAAAGTTCAAGATGAAACTTACCTATATTTCACATAGATATAGGTAAATTATTTTATGTAGATTAAACTACCCACTTGAAGATAAAGAATGTCATTCGATTCAAGATAAAGGATGTCATAGGTCATTTGGTTACAAAAAAATATAGGTAAAATATTTTTACGAAAATCATAAGGAACTATATTTATATAGTAATAAAAAGGAGAATATATATGTATATTATTCCAATTGTAGCCTATAAAACTGAAATTTCAACAAGCACTTAACTAAATTATAAAGTATGATGCACGTACGTGATGAATATTAAATGCTTGCCAAAAAAGGAAAGAAACTAGATAAAATTAGGATTT